GGGAGATCTCAGGTGCTCACCCCAGGTGTTGCACAGGACTGAGCTGGCTTTCTCCCAGGCCGGCCTCAGGGGACCAGGTTCTTGCCAGAGGCAAAGGTTTCTCAGCAGAAAGTGTAGGCCCCTCCCCACTTCTTCCCTGGAGGGAGGCCTGGGGACACCGTACCTATCAGTTCTGAATGTTTCGCATGGAGTTCACATCTTCTCTTTGCCCCACAAAAGGGAATTTTTCTGTCTTCTGGGCAAGGTGGAGGTGGCATATACCTAGGTGTCTGTTTTTTGCCCTCTTTAAGGAAACCAGAGTCTCTTTTTCACCTGTTTTTCCCCCACTTCTTCCCTTAACACAGAACATTTTACCCAGCCCTATTTCTGGGCACCAAAGAGAGAGGAGAGGCTGAGTGTGAGGGCGCCCAGCTGGTTCCTCTCACATCTGCCCTCCAGCCCCCAAACCTGTATGACAGGTCCCTTGCCTGGGCCAACCCCCGCCCACCACACAGGCTTTTTCATGAGATGAAACCTGGGGGTGGGGGTGGGGTGTTGGCACATGAAAGAAGAGACAGTCTGAAATGAAATCCAGCAGGGAGTGTGCAGAGAAGCCCCCCGCCCCCCTTCCTCCCCCTTCTCTGCATACTGCTTCCCGGACCTTTTTTCTTCTTCCACACATAGACCTCCGTCCACCTGATCCCAGGCACCTGGAGGCCGGAGGTGGCCGGGGCCTGCGGTCGGGACTGCAGTGGGGCCTGCGGTGTGCTGTGGGCACAGCGTCATGGGCAGAGCTGCTGGCGGCCCTGGGGGAAGAAGCCACCATAGGTGTTGCTGAGGGGCGTCCTCTCCCCCTTTGACAGCAGCTGCTTCCGTCTTTCTTGTCCCAGATACCTTCCCTCTGGCGTCTCTTTTCATCTCTCTTAGAAGTTGGATTTCCCACCTTACTCCTCCCCTTCCAAAACCTCCCAGCCCCCAGCCTGGCCCTCCTCCCTCAGCCTTGCCCGGGCCTCTTCTTGCTCCTTCCCTCCTCTCTTGGACATTGGCTGTAGATTTTCTTTGACTAACCAGACTCCTTTCAACATTGAAATCCTAGACTTCAGAGAGAAGATTAGAACTGAGTTGTGGGGAGATGTGAAAGTCAAGTTTCTGAGCATTGACCTTCCATGTAGAATTAACGATAATCTCATTGACTTGGTGGTGGTGGTCATAATTTTCTCCAGTATCTG